GGTTGTTAGGGTGAGGCTTGAGAGTTTGTGGGTCAGGGTTTGACAGCTCGCTGCCGCCACGGCCAACTCCAAGCGCCACGGCGCACCGTTCAGGAAAATGCTGTTTTTCGGGCCGCCGGGGACTGGCAAGACCATGGCGGCTAAAGAGCTCGCCCGGCAATCGGTGGGTGGTGAGACACCTAGGGGTGGTTGTTAGGGTGAGGCTTGAGAGTTTGTGGGTCAGGGTTTGACAGCTCGCTGCCGCCACGGCCAACTCCAAGCGCCACGGCGCACCGTTCAGGAACATGCTCTTCTTCGGGCCGCCGGGGACCAGCAAGACAACGGCGGCTAAAGAGCTCGCTCGGCAATCGGTGGGTGGTGAGACACCTAGGGGTGGTTGTTAGGGTGAGGCTTGAGAGTTTGTGGGTCAGGGTTTGACAGCTCGCTGCCGCCACGGCCAACACCAAGCGCCACGGCGCACCGTTCAGGAACATGCTCGTCTTTGGGCCGCCGGGGACCAGCAAGACAACGGCGGCTAAAGAGCTCGCCCGGCAATCGGTGGGTGGTGAGACACCTAGGGGTGGTTGTTAGGGTGAGGCTTGAGAGTTTGTGGGTCAGGGTTTGACAGCTCGCTGCCGCCACGGCCAACTCCAAGCGCCACGGCGCACCGTTCAGGAAAATGCTGTTTTTCGGGCCGCCGGGGACTGGCAAGACCATGGCGGCTAAAGAGCTCGCCCGGCAATCGGTGGGTGGTGAGACACCTAGGGGTGGTTGTTAGGGTGAGGCTTGAGAGTTTGTGGGTCAGGGTTTGACAGCTCGCTGCCGCCACGGCCAACTCCAAGCGCCACGGCGCACCGTTCAGGAAAATGCTGTTTTTCGGGCCGCCGGGGACTGGCAAGACCATGGCGGCTAAAGAGCTCGCCCGGCAATCGGTGGGTGGTGAGACACCTAGGGGTGGTTGTTAGGGTGAGGCTTGAGAGTTTGTGGGTCAGGGTTTGACAGCTCGCTGCCGCCACGGCCAACTCCAAGCGCCACGGCGCACCGTTCAGGAAAATGCTGTTTTTCGGGCCGCCGGGGACTGGCAAGACCATGGCGGCTAAAGAGCTCGCCCGGCAATCGGTGGGTGGTGAGACACCTAGGGATGGTTGTTAGGGTGAGGCTTGAGAGTTTGTGGGTCAGGGTTTGACAGCTCGCTGCCGCCACGGCCAACTCCAAGCGCCACGGCGCACCGTTCAGGAACATGCTCTTCTTCGGGCCGCCGGGGACCAGCAAGACAACGGCGGCTAAAGAGCTCGCTCGGCAATCGGTGGGTGGTGAGACACCTAGGGGTGGTTGTTAGGGTGAGGCTTGAGAGTTTGTGGGTCAGGGTTTGACAGCTCGCTGCCGCCACGGCCAACTCCAAGCGCCACGGCGCACCGTTCAGGAACATGCTCTTCTTTGGGCCGCCGGGGACCAGCAAGACCATGGCGGCTAAAGAGCTCGCCAGGCAATCGGTGGGTGGTGACAGGGGCTGGGGATAGGGTCGAGGGATCGAGGGTTCAAAGGTTGGGTAATCGGTGGGTGGGTGGGGACAGGGCACCTGAGAGCCCTGTTTCGGAACATGCTCTTCTTTGGGCCCCCTGGCACCGGCAAGACCATGGCAGCTAAAGAGCTCGCAAGGCAATCGGTGACAGGAGGAGATGTGGTTCCCTTGGGGCCACCACAGGCAGTGACGAAGATCCACTAGACGTTTGACTGGGCTCTCGTGCAACTCCCTGTTTGGTATTCCATTCTGGGTCCACTCAACCGACAAAAGAATGACCTCCGTTGCTCACCTCGCTCCTCTCTCCTCACCTTGTTGCCTACCACACTCCTCTCTCCTCACCTTGTTGCCTACCACACTCCTCTCTCCTCACCTTGTTGCCTACCTCACTCCTCTCTCCTCACCTTGTTGCCTACCACACTCCTCTCTCCTCACCTTGTTGCCTACCACACTCCTCTCTCCTCACCTTGTTGCCTACCACACTCCTCTCTCCTCACCTTGTTGCCTACCTCACTCCTCTCTCTTCACCCTGTTGCCTCTCAGGGCATGGACTAAGTGCTGATGACTGGTGGAGGTGTGGCTCCCTTGGGCCACAGGCAGTGACCACGATCCACCAGACGGTTGACTTGACTGTTGCCTGTGGCCGTATGGTGCAGTAGCAAGGGATTAACACCCTGTTGCCTACCTCACTCCTCTCTCTTCACCCTGTTGCCTCTCAGGGGCTGGACTATGCGCTGATGACAGGAGGAGACGTGGCGCCGCTAGGGCCTCAAGCCGTGACGAAGATCCACCAGATGTTTGACTGGGCGGCGCACACCAAGCGCGGGCTGCTACTGTTCATCGATGAGGCGGACGCCTTCCTGTGCGAGTGAGTATCGGGCGGCATTCCTTGGCTTGACATGCCATGGTATGGCATGGCAAGGCACAGCATGACTTTGCATGAGATGATTTGGCATAGCATGAGTTGGCGTGACTTGACATGACATGACACGGCATGGCATGGCATGGGATGGCATGGGATGGCATTGCATTGGACACCTTGGCTCCGTGGGGGGCTGGAGAGCACTCATCACCCATCCGACATCATCCATCCTCCATATCTCAATTCCTACCCCTCCCACCAGGCGCAACAAGATCACCATGAGTGAGGCGCAGCGCTCCGCCCTCAATGCCATGCTCTTCAACCGACCCTGTGACACCCATTCGGTGTTCCTTCCCTGTGTTGGCCACTGTGTATGTTGGTGTGCGTGTGTGTCTCCCTCCTCCTGTATGTGCATGCATTGTCCCACCAGGCGCAACAAAGATCACCATGAGTGAGGCACAATGCGCAGCTCTCAAAGCATGTGACAAACCTATCCCTATTCCAGCCTTCACTCATCACCCACCACTCCATTCCTACCTATTCCTCTATTACTCGCACCCACCAGGCGCAACAAAGATCACCATGAGTGAGGCGCAGCGCTCCGCCCTGAACGCCATGCTCTTCCGCACGGGCGACCAATCCTGTGACACCCATTTGGTGTTGCTTCCCTTTGCTTGCTGCTGCATATGAGTGTGTGTCTCCCTCCCTCCCTCCCTCCCTCACTCCCTCTGTGCATGCCTCGCCCACCAGGCGCAACAAGATCACCATGAGTGAGGCCCAACGCTCCGCTCTGAACGCCATGCTCTTCCGCACGGGCGACCAATCGCGCGACATCGTGCTTGTACTGGCTACAAACAGACCCGAGGATCTGGATAGCGCAGTCACGGACCGGATCGACGAAATGATGGAATTTCCTCTCCCGAGGGAGGAGGAGCGGTTCCGCCTGCTCCAGCTGTACCTCCACCGCTACGTGACAAACTCGCAGGACGGCAGGAAATGGTGGAAGCGGGGCGGCGGCGGGATTGCCGCGGCGTTCCGGAAACAGGAGAAGATCGAGGTGAAGGGGATTTCGGAGGATGTGTTGAGGGATGCTGCGAGGAAGATGGAGGGGTTTTCGGGGCGTGAGATTGCGAAGTTTATGGCGAGTGTGAGGGGAGCTGTGTACGGGAGCAAGGAGAGTGTGTTGGATGCGCAGTTGTTTCTAGAAGTGGTGGATTATAAGGTGGCTGAGCATCGGCAGAGGCGAGAGCTGGTGGCTGGGAAGGGCTGGGAAGCACCTGGGGAGGAGGGGAGCGTTGCAAGTCAGAAGAAGGCAGAGCAGTGAGCGAGGGAGCAAAGAGGGCAGGGAATTAGCAGTATGGCCGGGCAGTAGGTGAGGGGTTGTGAACGGATTGTTGGCATTCTTCTCAACAGGTCACCTAAAATTGTATGGAAATTCCAAGGCAAGCCTAGTTGCCTGCAGATTAAGTGAAAATGCACTTCAGAGATTTTTTTACTGCTGTTGGCCTTATCGCTAAAGTGCTCAACAGGTTTATCTTATTTCTACGTTGAGATAAAGGAGATGTCTGTTTCACTTGTTGAGAGTGCTAAAGGCCTGTAACACTGACAAAATTTCGTGTTCGTAACCATTCATGGCGCAACATCATTGCTAGGATAACTCTTCGCATGAGGTGGTCGCCAATCACATCGGGGAATGCGTCCAGCTCGCATGTTCCTTCGCAGTACAGTGTCTAACGCCCTCGACTTGTGTGAGGGCTGATCCCCTGAAAACACACCTGGTGGATGGACCAGAGGAATCTGCAAGTGACCAACTGCATCAGCGCTTCGTCGACGATGGTACAGTAATTATGGAAACAACATTCGCGCGTTTCGGAGTTCTGGAGACTGCATGAAAACCAGATGTGGTTTTCTCATGGCGAAAGCTGATTTCCTTGCATAACTCGCCCAACCTGTTTCTGAATGAACGCGAAATAGTTTTAAAATGTTGTTTAATTCTGTACCCGAAGAAATTTTCAAGAGTGTTCTAACCGTGTCTTTTTCCTATGTGTTTACGTAATGAAAACAATTTGGCCCCGATTTGTGCCGAAAGGGATTTGAAAGTCATCCTCCTCATTATTAGAGCACACCCAGCATCTAGACATCCACGCCAAATGAGACGTGAGTTAGGGTTGTTGGTGTCACAACTGACCACTGAGACCCAGCTTTCGTCGTCCTCCCCTCTGTTTTGGCGAAATGAAACTGTATCCATGGAGAGTTAACGGTTTATTCTGGTTGAGTACGTTTGGTAGCAATATGATAGACGAATAGAACGGTTGAGTTCAGTTCTGGTTAAGATGTGTTTGGGACATGGCTTCAACAAAACATCCCAGTCCAGCCAGACAGATCAGAGCAGAAGCCACAGCGTAGAGACACCCTACCACTCTCCGAGCACTACAACTAAGCCCTAGCGACCGTCCTTCCAGATATACAATAGCTCGGGCTTTACAGCTCTCTAGAACCTAGCTACCGTATTGGCCAGCGTTACGTACTCGTCCAGCAACAAAGTCGTTTCCACCTCCCTTCAAACTCTCAACCTTTCTCCACCGGATTGAACCCAGGCTACCCGCTGCACCCGTCCTCATATCCGCCCAGGAATCCATGGCTTCCCTTCGGCTAACGACAGCCGTCCAGCTGCTGCTACGTGAGTTCACACGGCTGCGTGTATGCTAGCAGTAGTTCGAATCAAAGCTGCTGCTTCAGGCGCTACAGATTTGACCACGGATGAGGAAACATGCGGCTCCGGTTATAAGCTTACGTCTCCACAGTTCTGCTGGTTACCTTTCACGTTTCCGCCGTACACCGTCGATTTAAGTAGGGAGTCTTTATTCGGAGTAGCCGTTAGAGTAATATAAGCCGATTGTCGCACGGCAGCTGCAGTTTTTGAACCGCGATACTCTATGTGCTGTAATGTGATAGAGTACATCACATTACAGTAGCCAATCGTTGGCTTCCAAAGAAGCCTCTCGTAGCTAATCATCTGAACGCTTCCAGCCCAACGTATCCTAAACAGACAGTGTAGGCCTACTCTGAAAACCCTAGTGACGGACTTGGTTGGGACGGGCGAAACAGCGACGGTTGAGATACGAATGATACGAATTCAAAACACTTGCTTTCTTCGCGGCGCATCCTCCTAGAGAACGCCTTTTTAAAATCAGTGACTGTCGTCCGCCCGCTGACTCCTCTATCCGTCTATTGGATGACCTGTTGCCGCCTCGATAGCTCCTTTCTAACGAGCCGTGTCAGTGCTGGGTTTCGACTCGCACGATCGAAGGCTCTAAGAACCTTCTCTCTCCGTCTTCCTGTCTTTGCTCAAGTCGCCCTGCGCAGTCGCCGCTACTCTTTCCACTTATTTATTTGACAACGTGCCACCCGTTCTGCATGGCTTGTTTTCTATTTTTCTCATTTCTCATTTCTCTGCTTATCTCCTCCGCAGTGGTCGCCATTTTCGCCTCGTTACCCGCGGAGCCCCGTGCCGAGACTCCCCGCCGCGAACTTAAAATTCTGCAAGACCTCGTCGGTAAGAGCTGACTCGATACAGCGTGCATGTGCATGGGTTCTTTGCACGCATGCGCTGAATCCGCGCAAACCCGTAGGCGCATATCGCCCTCGCTCTACCCGTCCGCTCTTTTCCGCGCCTGTCTTTTCGCCGACAAGTGTATGCGGTGGTGCGCACCTCCTTCCACACCTGGCCCCCTGCCTTCCGCACCTGGCCCTTTGCCTTCCGCACCTGGCCCTTTTCCTTCCGCACCTGGCCCCTTGTTTTCCGCACCTGACCCTTTGCCTTCCGCACCTGGCCCCTTGCCTTCCGCACCTGGCCCCTTGCCGTCCGCACCTGGCCCCTTGCCGTCCGCACCTGGCCCCTGGCCCTTTTTACTTACTGTGGCACGCTTGTGCACCCTTAACACAACTGGCACCAACTAGAGCTCTTTCCTACTCCCCTCCTCCCTTCTTTTCCTCCCCTCCCGTGTCCCCTCCCATTCATACGGCCTTCCTCTCTCTGCTCCCTTGACCTCTCTCGCCTTCTCCCTTGCCTCCCACCTTTCCTCGCTTTGGCAGGTCGGTACGCGCTCACTACAACGGGCACCAACGTCACCAGTCTTGTTCTGACGTTGAACATCTCGTGAGTCGTCTTGTTGCGTGTGACTTGGTTCACTATGTCGTCGTGTGTCGTTTTGCAAATAGTTCTTCTGTTTCCGAACATCAAGTGAGTTTTCTTCGTGTACGTGGTTCTTGTTTGATGTAACTTTATTTTACCTCATGCCCTTCATGCCTCTATTTCTCTTGATGTCTCGTCTCCTACAACCGCCACGCCCTGCAACCTTCTTACACTCCAGTGTTCTCCTTACTCTACTGCTCTTGTGCGCTCCTTGCTGCTCCTGTGCCCTCCTTGCTGCTCCTGTGCCCTCCTTACTGCACCTGTGCACATTCCTTCTCCTCACTCCTGTAGTCTCCCTTCCCCCTGAAGGAATCACTTTCGAGCCAAGACGATCCGATCGATTTGATTCCACGATGGAGTGGAACATTTAACATACCCTCGCAGCCTTCCGCTTTTCTCCCTCCGTCCTCATCCCCTGCATAAAAACCCCACGCCCTCCAGGGTGGTTTCGGATTATACAATCAGCAATCAAGCGACCGTTAATTTGGACGAGAACATACCCTCACAACCCTCCGTTTTTTTCCCCGTCGTACTTATTCCCTGCAGAAATCCTCTGCGCTCCAAGAAACCTACGGATTACGTAATCAGCTTCGCGGCGACCCTCGAGATGGCCGATAACGCGCTAACAGTCACGGATCCGCCGACCTTCTTCATGGTCTTTTCCAACGGTCACCTCTACTACCTCAACAGCGGAACCAACTGGACTCTCAACCAGGAATTTGTCCAAAAATGCACTCCTAACCCTGACTACATTGCACCGCCTTCGTCCGCAGCTCCCGAAGCTACCGATGGTAGTAGTACCGATGGATCTGGTGATACTGGGACCGAAGGGACAACCGATGTTCCAGCTGAGATTTGCGTCGACGTCCTTGTGAAAACCACGCACATTCTTGAGCCGTCGGTTTTCACGGGCCGCCGGAGCTACTTCAGCAAGAAAGACTACATGTGGACTGATTGGAACATGCTGGGCTGCCCGGATATGTATTTCCGGTTTGGGATTCCAGTGCGGGGGCGGGTCTCGGGGCTGCTTGGGAAGATCGCCTAGGGTTTCGCACTGAGGGTGACGAGACGAAGCCGATTCTACATGGGCTTGAATTGGAGTTTGGGTTGGGGTTCCCAAGGGGGCTTTGCACTGTTCTGCTCTCGCCCTGGGAATGGGTATTGAATGGTTGCATATCTCAAATTCATTTCATTTTGTACTGAAGGTGCTCGTCTGCTCTCCTTGGAACAGTTGTGTATGTATTGTAAGTTGGGTGGTTGTCTGCTGCTGGTATACCGTACATACTTGGTTCTGATTCAGTGGTTCATCTTTACAAGTTTGAGCTGTTGGAACGGTTTGTACACATGTACACAATCAATACTACCGTACATTCCATCCAGTGCACAACCCAGTCCACAATTGGGGAGGCATGGACGGATCCACAATTGGGTGGAAACACAATCAATCAATGCGCTCTGGTACACACATCCATACAATATCAAGCTCTTCATTGATAAAGCAGTTGATCAATGAACACACCCACACCACCGTAACCAAACAGACTCGATATATGGAGCTCACACTTATCATGATGCGTGACCGAGGCATACGGTAGGCACAGTGCAACTGTTACATTGATGTGGCATGGTTGATCAGGCTGGACCCAGCACGACACACTTTTGGGGAGAAGCGCAACTCCACAGCTGCTTGCAAACACACGGGGAGGGGCGAAGCAGAGAGGGCGGAATCAGGCACCAGGGCGTTTACAGGAACTTGTCTACAGTGATACACGAGGTGTGTTCAATTACAGTGGGAGGTTGTGAAATGAGTGCAGGCACGTATATACACCTGCACGACGAATCACATGAGCTCACCATACCTACTCTGTCACACGAACAGAATACGTTTGAGAATTCTCAAAAGTGACTCCCATTCACACATGGAGGTTGTGAAGCGAGTGCAGGCACGTGTATACACCTGCGTGAAGGATCACATGAGCTCACCATACGTACTCTGTGACCCGAACAGAAACCTGCCACCCTGATTCCTACACATTTCCCCCTTCTATCTCCACCGCCCACCCCCCTCCCTAACTCCACTACCCACCTCCCTATCCCCACCACCCACCCACCCCACTCCCTAACTCCACTACCCACCTCCCTATCCCCACCACCCACCCACCCCACTCCCTAATGCCACTACCCACCTCCCTATCCCCACCACCCACCCACCCCACTCCCTAATGCCACTACCCACCTCCCTATCCCCACCACCCACCCACCCCACTCCCTAATGCCACTACCCACCTCCCTATCCCCACCACCAACCACCCTCCTCCCTAACTTCACTACCCATCTCCCTATCGCCACCACCCACCCCTTTCCCTAACTCCACTACCCACCTCCCTAATCCCCCAATCCAATCCACCTTATAATTCCAAGCCACCACTTGATTTGCCTAAGCCAAATATGTTCCCACAGTCCACCTCCGTTCCCCCAACTGATCTCCCTCTTCCTACAGCTTGCCCACATATCCTTTGTCACACAGACAACCTCTGGACAGAAATGCGAACGTCAGTTGCTCACCTGTTGTAACAGATAATGTGTCCCTGCTTTTCCAAGCACGTTATAAGCGTATCCCTGTTGTGATACAACCACATCCTTGCCCTTCTGTCCATACAGCCGCGCGCACTTGTCCGCAATCTCCTCCAAAGTGCTTATATCGAACCAGCCGTTGTCTATAAGGGGATTGGTGGCCGTCTCAGCCATTTCATGGGCTAAAGTGTTTATCACTCCATCCACACCCGGATGGCTGTTTGGAGATGTCCTGCAGTAAAATTGGAGAGAGGAACAGAAAAAGAGAAGAATTCAGATATGCGTGTGGTTGAACATTTGAAGCTGTAAGCGGGCTGGAGGCCGTCTCTCAACCATTTCATGGGCTAAAGTGATTATCAGTCCATGCACACCCGGATGGCTATTCGGAGATGAGCTGAATTCGATGGGAAGAAGGAACAGAAAGGAGAAGGAAGAGAGTATTCACAACCACAACCACAGTGGCAGTTGGAAATGATAACAGCATAGCAGCATCCAGCCAGTGGTAACCACCAGACACGAACAAAAATCCATCGCATGTGATCTCGAATCCCCCTTGATCATAACGATGGTTTTGGGGGGAGGGTCGGGGGGTGTGTGGGAGGGTGACTCTCGGAGGGAGGAAGGGTGGGAGGGGGGAGGTGGGGTTGTGGCGAGGGAGGGGGTGAGGGGTGGTTGGGAAGATCGTGGTCGCTCTGACTCACCAGCGGAGAATCAGGGCCAATGTCAGTGCCTTTCGTTCCTAAGCCTCTTTCTACAGGATTCCCCGCTGTGAGCTGCAAAACCCCACCTTTTACAAATTCATTCCTCTCACCGGGTATTGTACGAAGGCACACAATATTGCGGACACTGTTGCCCCCCGTTCCCCACGTGAATCACTTTCAGCTCGCTCCGCCCGTTCGACGCGGTTGAGTGCCACCCGCAGTACCCCTGCGGCCCGCAGAAGCCTTGGGAACTGTCGCCCAATCGCACGTCAGGACTCGTTAGGACGACGTAAATTGCGGAAGCATCAATGGGGAAGTTACCCGAATCAATCTGCTTGCGAATAACTGCAAGGAACAGAGTAAGGTAAGGACGAAATGAAATTCGAGATAGATGGTCCTGTATCATTAAAACTTAATGGCCTTGTGCATTATGCTCATATTACCGCCCCACATTCATCCACACTCATCTGTGTAAAAGCCTTCTCTTATTTGATTTGAAATCCGTACCTCTATGCAGCTTACCCAAGACTGGACACTGTTCTACTCTTGCCAAAGACCGAGTTGATATGCGTACCTTGCCACACGCCGTTCATGTCATCCCGCATCATCTTCCCCTGGGAATATCTGTCCACCGCCGATTTCGCAAGCCGCACCAGCGACGTTACCGCAACGCCGCCCTTGCCAGTGTACAAGCTGGTGGTTCGCCACCATCTTCGCACGCTCGCGACACTGTTACCCGAGTTGTCCGAAATCGATTGCACGAATGTGTTAACAGCTCGGCGGTCTTCACGGCTCCACGACCCGTAGAACACGACGTACACATTAATAGGCGAGCTCATTACTGGTCCTCCGTGGTAGCTCATTCCGGGACTTCCAGAATTTATATTAGGCCTTGTGATATGTCCTACTCCGTTTCCCATCAACGGAGTTCGGTGCCGCCGTTCCCCCCATCGCTGCCGCCGGCGCGTCAACTCTGCGGCGCGGCTAACTGTGGATGTCGTATCGTTACTCCCGGTGTCGCCAATCGCGTTCCTTGAGAAATGCGAATCGCGGAAGCTTCCAGTAGTTGGATACACGCGCACGAATCCGGTTGGTTGAAACTCGGATGTTCCATATTCAGTTGTCTTGGGCTGTGGCTCACGTTGGGTAGCTGCAGTTGCGGAGAGAACCCTCGAGGCGGAAACAGCGGCGGGAATCGCGGCGGATAAGAGTAGGACAGAAAGCAGGAGATGACGGGAGGCAACGCGTTTGTCTGTAGGGGTAAAATCGACGCGAAGACGAATGTTGTTCATGTTGTGTGAAGAGATCGGTCCTTCCGCAACGGCGGCAGAGGGCTTTTCTAGGCTATGACGCGAAACGATCCGTTCACCCTGGTGAATGGCATTCGCTGAATCTGGACGCCTCCGCCGCAGCTGGCACAGCGGCTGCGGACGAGCTGCTACTAGTAGTGATAGAAGCAAAAGGCGCCGATGCCCTGAAATCACAAGTGAAGCGTCGGAATCCACGTGATGATCGTCGGATCTAGCGGTTTACGGTGGGCGAATGCTGCTCACAGCGAGTGGGTTTTGATGTAGTACGTCGTTGAAGGAAACGGCGAGTGCGGGAATTTGGGGGGGCAGAATGAGGAGCAGCAGTAGTGAAAGGCGAGGAAACCGAATGAGGGTAAGAGGAGCAGTAGTAGGCGCATGATGAAACAATCGATAGGAGAATGTATAGTCTCGAATCGAGATGGTCAAGCTGTTGATTCAGACAGGATAGAGTGGGATCGGGTGAGTGACGACGAGGCGCGCATAGCTAGCTGGTCTTGTTACCTACTCAGTAATTCTAGTGGACTGCCCAAGTGTCGTATCGTACGGACAGCGTACAATTGTTCTTTTCGATGCGGTGCGGGGTTGTATTGCATTGTGCGCTTTTTCCCAACACAGAACCTTCACTTCACAGTCTCCATGACGAATTTCCAAGAGGTATTTGGGCGGGTCTGAGCTGGAACATTTTTGTTCAGATGTTGCGGTTCAGTACGATGTTGTGCTTTCTAGACCGATTATTTTGCATCACCTTTTTAACCGTGATTCACCGCTCTAAACAGTTATATATGAGCTGTAAATGTAGAAACTGACCCATGGACTTGCAAATGCAAATGCGAGCCAGGCCAGATGTGGGGAATGTTGTTGAGGTTCGTGGTGGGGGACATGGTTGGTGGGGTTCTTTGTGGGCAGCATAAAAATGTCGTTTGAGGGGGAGGAAAGAACAGGCCACTCTCGCTCAACTGCAAAACAACATAGCATCCGCAACGCGGCTCTGATGCGCGGTGAATTGGCGATGCTTGAGGTGATCGTGTGATGAGATCGAAGCGAGAGGGGCCAACTCGAAACCTTGCTGGCCGATGTGGCAAGGGAAGTCAAGGCGGTGGGGGCATTCGACGGGTGCGTACACTACCAGCCACGACATACGTTCTTTGCGTTTTGGAAGAATCCGGCGAGCCATGAGAGAGCGCATCGGAATCCGTCAAGAGCAGGCAACGGACGGATCTTCGTGCTTTCAAGCAGTGCGAGATCGTACGTCCGATATCTGCATCCGCCGCGACCGACTGCCGCTGCAAATTTGCATGCGTAACTGCTAGTAACCGGGTTACCATTGGGTAACTACCCTGAATTTCCTTGCGTCTGGAATTTGTACTCCTTACCTGCAGCATCACAACAATCTAGTGGAGGATCACCGGATGTTATAATAAGAGGAGGATCCATTGGGCGGGATAAGGTGTTAGAGGGCT